ACACTACACACCCTCATACACACAAACCAAATGTAAAACCCCCTACGTCTATCGTTCTGTACTTTGTCCTGTTAATGTGCTATTTTGTTTCAGAAACAACAGAAACTATTGCTGCAGAGTTTACAGCTTATTAGAAAAAGTGAAACTCTCAAGCATTCTCAAAACTTCAGCTCTGAATGAAACAATAATAAGCAAATTAACCAGTCATGGGCTGAGCCACCTTATGTGCCCTTCATAAAAGCAGACTTTATGATAAAGCGGTTTTGATTTTTCTTCCACTAAACTCTACAGACATATTCCAATAAGACGGACAGCCACTGGTGACAGAAGGGTAAAAGAGGCGCTCAGGTGTAGTACGTATAATGCTGGTGACTGTGTATCAGGGGATTCAGACTGTAAAAGCGTGGGAGAGTGCAGCAGAAATGTGAGTATCACCTACAACAATGTGAGAGAAAACGCTGCACTACACACAGACTGTGTGTCTAAGTTAAAATGAATCACCGCCTGTTCCAAAAAACACTCCCCTGGCTTTTGGACAGTGAATAATAGAGCTGTGAGAAACTCTCCTATTAGCCCACTGTGGAGCTCCTCGTGACTCCCAGTAAGTCAGCGTTTGCACTTTACAAGTATGTGGGGCCCTGTAGGAAGAGGCTTCCGAGACAAACCAATTACATCCTTGTCATGGCCGTGGCACAGCATCGTCCCTGCAGAGACACCACTGTCACATTGCATGCCGTTACTCTGGCTCAGTAGACCCAGGGCTGATGAACCATGAGGCCTGGCATGTGTGGCACGGTCACATGCTCCATCTAGCCCTCACACAGCCAAAGAAACAGTTCTACATACCATTAAGTGTTCATTCTCCTTTATTAAAGAGACGGCGTTGCTAAAACAAATAGTGGCCGCAGTCAGCACACACTGATTTGTTGAAGCATATGACTCGTGTTTGATTGCAGGAAAAATTAAGGCTGCAGGGACAGGCCACTTTTACCCCGTGACTCTCCCTGGGAGCAGGGGCTGCCTCCAGGGCTGTGTATTTACACAATCCTCCCAGGGCGGAAACAGAGCCCATTAGCATCTCATGCTAACATGCCTGTGGATATAGAAGCGAACACAGCTCTTTTCAGTGCCCAGAAAACAGTGAAGTAAAAATAATTCATGTGTACTGTCCAGTGCCTCTCTGGGACATTTTAAAATAACTGTTTTTAAAAGAACTTGAACTCCCCCATTAGCATTTATAAGCAGCTAATACCCAACTAATAAGACGTTTATAACAACCTATTATTGATTTGTATGCAAAATACTCAAAATGTTCTTATCTGACTACAACTACATAATAAAGCACTCATAAGACATATTTGATATTACTATAACTTTGGTTACTCTGTCATTCATTATGCTGATATACCGGCATCTACTTATGGATGTCCACAAGTGTATTAAAGCAGTTATATCTATGTATAACTACATTATTCTGTGTTATAAACATACATACACACACACACACACACACACACATTATATATATGAATGCTAAACTGAGGAAATTCAAGAGTTGCTGATCAAGTAATCTTTTAATTGAGTGACGGCTACTTCTTGAGAAGGGATGATTAACACTGAAGCAATGCCATGCAGTAACATTCTTGTGTGGCTTGTTGCAAAACAGTAGGAGGCTGTGGAGACGCCAACAAAGCCGCCAGTGTGAAAGTGTGCAGCCTCAGCTGGCAAGCCCAGACTGGAGGTTACACAGCATTCAATAATTACAAGAAAAGCATCGACCTAGTTACACAACAGCCGAAGCCTTAGCTAACTACTGTCTGTCAGCCTCAGTAACCTAACAAAAGATGCATGAGCTCAATGGGCAGTAGAGCTTAAACTGGCCTCAAGCAGCACACGTTGCTGATTTAAGAGGTCACCGTGCAGGTGGCTGACAAGGCTACAGCTTGGCTTGTGTATATCAGAGTGAGTGAGGGTGAGGGAGCAGCTCAGACATCATCTGCTGTTGATAGAAATGTTTATTTAAGCTTTGTTCTGCCCGAGAAGTGGACCAGGAAATACTGTTAACAGAATGAGATGCAGCACAACCTGAAATATTTCTCTGCTTGAAACACCTTATTTAGGCATTTCAACACTACTAATACAACTAATACAAGCCTTTAGGGTTAAAGGGTTTTTAAAATGTAACTAATGTCATTATTGGTGGTAAATAAATCAATTTAACTGGTTTCATCTTTTCCATTTGGTAGTTGTTCTAAATCTTATGATCTATTACTCAGTGCTCATGTCTGCAATTTTAAGTGCTATTAAGTCATTGATAAATCTGTTAATTATCACGTCTGCTGTTATAAAGATTAGTAAGTCATTAAAATGATCAAGTCTGCAATTACATGTCTTAAGATTGTCATAAAGTAATTTTTATCTGGATTGTCTGCAGCATTTGTACTAAAATAAGTCATTTATCAGCCATTAGTAATTCCACTAGTTACAACACAGGAATCCTTTAAGAAGTGTGCCTCATTATGAAGCGGCTCTTATATTAGTGGTATTAAAAAGTGATGGTTTTGAAGTTATTGCAGGATGGTGCACTTAATGTACAGTATATCACAAGTATTACTCCAACTGTTACATCATTGCCTGTTCACTGATGTCCAGACGGAACACAAGCACACAGTTTCTCAACTAAAAACTTTCTGAAGTTTGGAAACTTTAGTTAAACTCAAGTCACTGTGTGGGAGTAAAAAAACCAAGAGCATGAAGTGGAGGATGAGCACGGAGGCGGGCAGGGCAAGGCAGACAAAGCGTCAGGCCAGACTCATTGATCAGCTGCGAACACTGTTCCTCCCTCGCTCTCTTTGTTCATCTGAATTTCTGTGTTTCAGCCAGATGCAATTTGCTGCTGTTTAGTCAGCCAGAGGAGGCTTCCAGATGACTCAACGTACAAACCAGGAACTCACGACTAAAATCCACAGCATCAATCCACATCTCCATTCCATGCTGATTTTCTCACATAAGAAGCTTCATAAAAGTCACTTTACGATTAAACCAGATGTCCATACAGTGCTGTTCAGTGTCGTTTTCAAAAAAGTTTTCTTTGCACCCTTGTCTTCAAGTTTCATCAAGTAAAACTGAACACATTTAAAGATCTTCTCTAGCGCTAGTTACAGGTAAATTACAGTAATAAAACTATAACTCCAAACAACTGCAGACCAGTCAGACTGGAACCACAGCCTTTTTATGATTTGCCAAGCTATATTTAACAATTATTAAAGTGCTATATTTAACTTTATGGGACGACTGTGGATCGGTCGTCTCTCAACCGGAAGGTTGAAGGTTCGAATCTCGGTGCCTGCAGTCCACATGTCGAAGTGTCCTTGGGCAAGACACTGAACCCCCAAGTTGCCCCCGATGGTTAAAGCCATCAGTTGAGTTGGTGCCGCAGATGGCTGCCTCGGTTCTGTACTGGAAACAAATGGTATTCTGCTCTATATGAGCTGGATATGACTCCATAGCTATAAAAACAGGGTTATGCAGGGTTCTACTTACAAGACAGTCATTCTGTGAGATCCAGAATAAATTTTCAAATATGCAACAAAAAAAGTCCACAAATAAAGAAAACGAGCTTAAACAACCTTCACAATAACATCTTAAGACCTTCACTTTCTAAAAGCACTACTAAAAATATTTACTACTTTGGGGAAATCACTCATCTATTGGAGCTGGTCCCGGTGACACTGGCAAGAAGAGGGGTACACAGGCAATCTATGACAGGGCTGACACAGACACAGACAACCAATCACACCTACAGACAACGTAGAGCCACCAGTCAAACTACTGTAACCGACCTGTCTGTGGCAGGAAGCCGGAGCACCCACATAGGACAAAGTCGACACAGAAAGGATTTGACTGGAAAAATCAGTACAATAAATATCATTGAGCACTGAAAATAAACAACTATGGCTGTAAGTGACAAATTGTTTCACTGTCCATTAATCAGCCAATTATTTTCTATAAAATGTCACAAAATAGAGAAAACATCCATCACATAAAAAAAAAAACGTACAAGTAAAAACTGTTGCAACTCGATAAACAATTGAAATTTGAATCATCAGCACAATTTCTAACAAATAAGTGCCCGGCCAAATTATGAAGACAGAGATGATACAGAGTCACCTGGGCTCCAGTGACCCCTGGGCAAGTGCTGGACTGGGAGCCTGACCTTGACTCTAACTGAATTCAGTGCCATAGTTTTTTTTTCATTTTTGCAATTGAATGTTTTTGGCAGTCTCATTTTCCAAAGGCTAAAACAAAGGCTTCCTTTCGACAACGCTTCTTTCAGACGTCAGTGTTGAGCAGATTAGGAGGTGAGGGAGACGGTCACACTGTTGACCTCAGAGTGACAGCAGTGAAGCAATCCCCAGCACACAGACACAGCATGCACACTCAGCCAGCCTACCTTGAGAGGCGGCATGAGGAGGCATGAGGAGGCAGGGGCCCTCTGCAGGACACAAACACCACAACACCAAAGACACTCGCACTATGAATTGGCAGAAAAAGACATCTGCAAAAGCACAAACTGAATGCTCATTTAGATCACTGCATGTCTGTCTGTTGGCTACAACAATCACCTCCTCTGAGCTGTGAACAATGAAAACATCATCTACCTGGCCTGAATGACTGATTCACAAAAGGGCTCCACAGTCTCGTTTTGCTGTACACAGGGAGATGGAGGAGAAAACACACCTACATCTAAAAGAAAGGGGGTTCCGATCAGCCTCTGTCTGCCAGGTCTCATATCCTGTAAGACTAAAATTACGGTATAACAACCCTGCTGAGGAAAGGTGAGGGTGACACACCTACACATCCTGTGTTTACTGCTACTCGAACGAAACTAGACAAAGCTGTAGTCTCGGGTATCGCCTGCATTGGATCTCTCCCTGTTTGTGCACTCACACAGACACAGACACACACACACGCGCGCGCAGACACACAGCGTCGCCTACCTTAGAAATTCTTGCAGACAGGTGTCACAGAACCGATGTCCACAGGTAGACACTTGGACGGGCTCCCGCATCGCCTTGCTGCAGAGCGGACACTGGAACCGTCTCTTTGGTTTTTCCAGAAACTTGTAATCAAACCCGGGCATCGCTGTCAGTATTTCTCGGGCCTTCAGCTGCAGGTTAAAGGTAGAAACGTCCTTTGGATCCTCCACTAACCCCTCAGGGAAAAGGGAATATTTAGCTGCACTGCCGTTTAAACCGACGAAGGGTTCATATCACGTCCCTTCCGCCACCGACAGATCGGGCTGATAGGAGGCGAGTCCTCCGCAGCTTTTCCTCCTGCAGCCCTGAGACTGATGGCAACAAAAGCGCAAGACTACACAGTCCAGTAAACGCTGCAGAAATAATGATTCGTCTTGAAAGGCGCCTCTCCGCAAACTCTGGGTTTATTGTGGCCGGCGGTGCTGCCGTGCGTCCTCTCCTCTGTAGGTGCAGTACTGACACTGAACACAATGCATCACCCCTCCGTCTGTTTAGGTGCTCCGAGTCCCGCCTCCTCCTCCTCCTCCTCCCTGCAGGAGGAGCCAGCGCTGAACCCCGCTGCTCACACCATTTTATCCCTCTGATCTCGCTTTATGGAGCTTTAACTGGATGCGGTGGGCTCCACGGACATAAACTGTTTCCATACCTATGTTTAACATCGATTATTTATATAAAAAACATAAACATGGCATCGAAATTAGACATTTTTAAAATATGTATGTGTCTAATCAGTACAGTCCGAGGTGGAGGGTTTGGCTGCTAAAGTCAAATAAACAGAAAAAAGACTTAATCCCACAGAGAAGCCTGCAGAACAGTCAGAGGTGACATCTGCCCTCTGCTGGCAAAAGGCGCACAAATGAGGCGATATACCGTAGTGTTCATGTTAAAACGTTCTTTATAGAGGCTGGAACAAAGCAGAAAGCCTGAGGAGGATAAACTGCAAAAAACAACTGGGCAGAATTTTATAAGGGTGGAAATAAAGAGCACATCCACACATGCAGATCATTTTTCACCTGCCACATTGCCACCGGATTACATCACCATTACATCATCATACAAGGCAACAATGGCAAAAGATCCATGTCTCCAGAAAAGGTGTGAACGCAGCTTCTGATGAGCAATAATTACTGAAAAATATAATTACACTGTGAAAAATAAGCAAGAGTTGCTAAAATCCTCACAAATAATAAGTGTATATGTAATAATATTTAAAATAGATGCCAGCTGTTATGTGATGTGACTAAATTACAAAGAAAAATAAATACTGGAATGGGAGGACACAGCGAGATTAAAGGGGACAGTGGAACCAGTGTACAGCAAATGTACTGACTGTCACTGGAGAAATCCAGCCGTACACACTGAGATATTCATTTGAAGCTCAAAATCCTGAAGTGTTGTTGGAGTTTAACTTTGATGTCTGAATAGTTCCTGAAGAACTAAGGACATGTAATGATAAAAAGACATGATGTATAACAAAGCTTTCACTCCCTCGCACCGGATAGTGGAAAGGACACTTCTGAGGCACTTGCACTTTACTTGAGCATGTTCATTTTATGGTACTTGATACTTCTGCTCCTGTACATTTCAGTGGGAAATACTCCACTAAATTTGGCAGCTTAAGACAGGAGATACTTTGCAGATCAGTTTGTAAATCTAAAATGTATTAAACTAATATATTGTGTATTTTTATAGATTAAGCTATGAGGCAGGATAAAAAGTAAAACTAGATGTCTCTTTAACACCAGGAGGTCTTAAAGTATTGGTTCAATCAGCCACTCAACCACACGTTGTTTTCTGGTCCGATCACTGCTGCTGAGTTACAAATGTCCTGGAGGACTAATCCATTAAAGCACAATGTGACCACCGACAACGCCGTCGGGATTCATGTGTCTGGTTCATTTAACTGACGAACTCTCAAATGGCTCCATTCTTTTCGTTTCTGTGCATTGTATCATCTCTTTCACCAGTGGCTTAACAGAGCTCAAACCAGTTTGACGTTTACTGGCTGTTCATGATTTAATCCTGAACATGAGAGAGGACAATACTAGCTGAACAAACAAAAGCTGCCTGATGGCTCTTTGCAGTCCAGCTCCACTAACGGTGTCACACCATTCCTTTAACCAAGCTGCTGAGAAATATTCCTTTCCACCTTTCCTGCGCTTTGCTCCATGATATCAAGCCAGTGAAATAATCAAACTTTCATTCCTGAAGAAAACACCCTATGGACAGAGAGGATGACCAAGTGAAAATCCAAGGCCGCAGCTGCAGTGTGACAGGGAATCTTTGAACGGTAGCACAGACGGGCCTCTGGGAGGAGTTATTCAGAGGAAACTGTCCTTCATCTCACGCCACCGCCGGGCTTCATGACAACCGCTGTGTGGGCATGAGTTTGTTTTCAGGACAAATTCATCTCGGGATAGGCTCCTCAAGCAAAGCTGAAACCAGAAGGAGCAAGGTACAGGAGTCCAATGTTAGCGGAGCTGAGATCAAGATAGTCCATTTGTTATTTCAGTCACTTTTCTATAAAAAACTAAACTAAACAAAAATGTACTGGTTTCAGACTTTGGTGGATTTGGTGCTTTTCTTTGTTATATCTGATAGTAAATCTGTTGAACCCCAAGGGGTTGTCTAATGTCTTGCTTTGTTCACCAAACAGTCCAAATCCAAAGATGCTGAGTTCACAAAAGAATAACCTTATAAAAACTGAGTGGTCATTTATAGAGCTTCTACGATTAATCAATTAATCAATAAGTCCTTTGCCGAAAAATGTACACCCAGCAACTATTTTAAAAACAAACTGTTCTAGTATTTTTTCAGGACGATGTGACAAAACATTGCTGTCTCAGTCTCTCCCGTGTCTCTGTTCTGTGTCATTATAAGTTGAATAGCTTTGAGTTTTGGGTTGTTGGTCAGATGAAATGAGGAAAGTGAATGCAATGAGATACCTTTATATGAAACAACCAAATGTTTTCATTAAGCATAAACACACTGTATCTTAATCCTCTAATCCATATCATACTGAAGTACATAAAAAGATCTGCAAATACTGTCATTTGGACTCTTCCATTAAGGGGCAGTATTTCGTTTGCCAGCTTCCGGTCTGGTGGTGGAGGGAAGCGCTCTGGATTTCAGTGCTCCACAGCAAGACAGCATTAAAAAGAAGGTACTCTATTATTACATGTGAATATTTTGTCTTCACTTGACACTGAGGATAGTAATGAGATCCAGTGCTAATAACTGTTAAGGCTTGACATGATATTTTTAAAAATTCTCCTTGATTTCTTGGTTTATTTTCATTTTTTATCTATGTAATTGATGTTTCCCCAGGACATTGGGCTGGGAAGGAGATGCTGACCTTGTTTACTGATAATAAAATATACAGCAGGTCCACATGGGTGCTCATGTACCTGTTGAACGAAATTTTCCAGATAATGATATTTTGAAAATGACTGATACCAGTAATATAAAACCTCTCGCAGACCATTTGGTCTTGTATTAATGACCTCTCTGAGGGCACCCTCAGTGTTAGTCCATATTGCTCTCCATGCCCTCGTTACATGGCTCTGGCCAAATGAACCACAATTCAAAAATTCAAACAGTAACCCTTTATCTTGAGGCCAGGATTACTAACATCTCTGTTACTTATTAATTTGTGATGCAGTTTAATCTTCTCTGAAGATGCACTTATTTTCGGTTTGGACTGTAGAAGGAGGGTTTAATCTCACCTGCACTGTTATCCAGTTCCTTTAAAAGATCTGGTTGTTGCACTTTTGTTCTGTTGCTCTCAGTAAGACATAACAAATCAATAACCACAGCCTTAATAATTTGGCCATGCAGATTCCTAACAAATATGTGTCTGTGTACTTGAAAGGAACTAGACTGTCAATGTAAACAAACTGCCTGTGACTGGAAATGCATAAAAACATTGTAAACAAAGCTATATTCATGATTTGAGTGTCTTTAGTGAGTGAGGTTTCAAACTTACAAATGAGTCCTTTCATAAATCTACATGCATCTCTGTGAGCGTTATCAAGGCAGCTTGTCTCAGGCTCAGCCTGTGTGTCGTCTGGGGATCGGTCTCTCTGTTAGATTTCACCACAGCCCAACATCTCACAGTATTTGTTAACAAAGGGTAATAAGAAAAATATTACGTTTCACTGCCAGCAGAGTGTTGCCATGACAACAAGCCACTGATGTCACTGTGAATGGGTGACTCTCGTCAAGCTGCACCGCCTTTGGTATCCCAGAATCCTCCTCTTTTCTGCCGAGCCGACCACGGGCGCCCTTTCCCCAGGTGTACACCTCCCCCTCTGTGGCAAACAGGAGAAGAAGGAGCTGGTCACTGTTTCTTAAGATTCAGAGCAAGAGCCCCAGGGCGCATTAATCCGCACAAATCTTTAACTGACAGCTCTGTCTCTCCTGCAGTGGCAGCATAATGGCCGTATCTGTAGGAAGTCAGAGCTGAACAAAGCCTTTCTTTGACAAAGAAATCCTACAGCCATGACTGGCACTGCTGGGTTTCTCCCCAGGAAGCAAGTCGCAGGCACAATACGACATTTTACCATTTTGCCCTCAGCTCTAAGAACAAAACACACATGTAGAGATACATGAGTGCACACGTACACTCACACATCTGTTGCCTATCTGTTCACCACTGTGTTTAAAGGGCCACAGCAATGGTTTTATACCTTTAGCCCATTAGCTAAAACCCCAGTGTAGTCTGGATTATTGCAAACCATTTCTGAAACACACACATGCTCCATTAGCCGAATGTTCAGTGGGACATGAAAATAAACCTGTAGAGACTTGAAACCTGTTCAAGTAACAAAATCCACCATAGTGAACATTTAATCAGCACTGTTTATGGCTGTAAGTTACTGTATATTGCTGTTATGTGGTCAGAATACCTACAGGGACAGTTTGAAACTCTGTGATTCTCATTATGATGCACTGACCACAGTATCCCAGAATCCTCCTCTTTTCTCCCAAAGCAGCTAAATCACAGGTATCTGAGAAATGCTCTCTCCACTATGAGCTGAGGTTAACCCTGTTGCATTTACTTGCACAACTCCAACTCATACATGGCACTAAACCACCTTAGGTGTGAGGGATCGACAATGAGTTTCTGCTTTTTGAAAACGTTTCATTTGTGCTTTTTTGGAATCTCTGCTATCTCAGGCCAGCTGCAGAAAAGCAACCATTTTACTGCAAAACCACCACATTCTCATCTCATTTCATTGGAAAGTGTGTGTTATTATTTGTCTCCTGGGTGAAATTACCAGACAACAAGGCTCAAGTATGAAATCACCTAATTTGGCTGACAGACATCTTCTAATATTGCAGTCAGAATGCATTTCTATGTGAAATGGGGCAAGACACCCTGGTGTAATGAAATGAACCTGCTTCATGCAGAGTTTAATCATACTGAACTTCTGCTTCATTTGTAGACTGAACCTTATTGGAAATAAAAGTTTTCTGTTCTCAAAACATAGATATATCTGTTTAGATAAAGATAAAGTTGTTTATTTATATTCTTGATTTATAACTGCATGGCATACAATGGCATGCCTTCCCTTGTTTTCTAACTTATCTACAATGTTACAATGGTGAATTATCATCGTAGACTTGACCTAAAGATCAACAAATGAGGTGTAAGTATGTTCTAGCCTTTCTATGCAGAAGCAACTTGGTTTATACACATCTCACAAACTCTGGCTTGTGAGATTTTTTTTTCTAATACAATGAAGTATTAAGTGATAGTTTAAAGATCTCTTTGAGTGGTCATATTCTCTGGGCAGCTGCATGTTCATGCGAGCTTGCCTGACATCCACCGGTGCCATTTTATAAGTGGAATTTTTTGACTACACATGGTTTTGTGGATATATTTTATCTGACCAGGTCTAACCTATAGGCAGTGCCAATGAAGCCCCCTGGGGCATTGAATGATCAGCTCATCTGTGCTGGATTCCCCTGGAGCACAGTACCTGATTGTTTTGACTGCTTGAGGCCAGTGTGTCTGCTGCTTGTGATGTGTGAGCAAATTAACGATTCATGATGATATTGTTAGTGCTACCCTGCCTGTTGGAATTACTTTCACTGCTTTGGGACTGTAGGAGGTCGTGTGGGGGATGACACAGTGACCACTGGTTGGATGTACAGACCTTGGAGCTCCTTGAAAGGGAATGATGTTTCCACTACTCGGTGGGGCTTAATAATAAGTTTTAAAAAACACACGTTGCATGTCGGTTTATATATATGTTGTTTCTGTAACATAAGAGAGAATTGTTGTAAGACAGGAGAAGTTACTATATCTGCATTATGCCAGTTAAAATATGGGGTTTCTCAATTACCCGCTTTGTTTAGAGTGTTACACATCTCTTTTCATTGGTTCATATACCGTTGTTTACCTAACTATTTAGGCATTCACAAACTATCGTCTCATTTTTAGGATGAGGCTCTTTGGTTTTATCATTCTGAAATAATTACAGACTATTTGGCGTTATAAGGACGCAAAGCTAATCTAGAGGTACCAAAGATCAAACATTAAATGGCTGGAAATTAGCAAAATGAGCATGCCATGGACACTTTAATGACAGTAAAACTTCTGATAAGATCCTGTTTAATTTAAAGCTTTGAGGACTGCTGTTGATAGCCACACTAGCTGCTGACTAGGGCCTTAAACAGAGAAGGTCAAAATATCCCTTATAGTCCCTTCTACTCACCAGATCCAATAGCTAAGGTGAAAGCGTCACCACAGGCAGCCATGGTGACACTCTGCAGGCCAGGCACCAGGAAGGGCACACGGCTGCCTCGACGGGAGCTACACCCCATCTGGCCATGCTGGTTGCTGCCAAAGGTGAAACACTGACCCCGTTCTAGAAAAGCAAATTGCGGGTAAAAGTGGTCATGCTAGGTGCTAAGATTTAGACCCAAACCATATTTCATAATTAGAAGCCTCATTTCATGTCAAAACTGTGAAAAAACTGCACTTTTTCACATAGCTGTTTATCTTTAGCACTTTAGCTGACTGAGGAAGTTTCACATGTTGCACCTGGCACTAACTTCGAAAAAGGTTTTTGCACATCATTAAGGTATGTAGGACCCAAACCTCTTGATGAAAACCATTTTGTCTATATTGACTGATGAATGTCTGAAGACCAAAATGTCATTAATTAAGTGAGTTATAATGAACAGAGTACGGGATTACTTGTTTTATTCCATAGAAAACTAGTTGGACTAGCACTAAACAAAACAGTGACCTTCTTCTGTTGCTTCAAAGACGTGATTTGATAAAATAATACTGTGAATTTCTTTACCTGTAACAGCAACAGAATGGGCCGTTCCTATGTCAAGGTAAACTATCTTCTCACTTTTGAGTGGGGCTGATTGAACCGGAGTGAAAGAGTGGACTTCTTCCACCTGGTTAGAGGGATTTGGTTCCTCTTCAGCTGTTATCTTATCCAGGCCAAGCTTGTTGAACCTGACCACAGTGAAACAACAAATCTAAGTATTTATAGCAGAGAATACTATGGTAGAAAAATAGTATTTATTCAATTCTTTTAAATAAACATACAAATAAGTGCGTTTGAAACAAAGCACTTTAATATGTTGCTTTGTCCTTGTCTGTGCAGGTAGCTGCTGAACTGCATGTTTCACACTTGCACTCACACACAGCTATACATCCTATGCTAACCCTCTCTGAGAGAAGGATTAAAGGTGTGAGAAAACTAAGTATTTGTCATTTTAGGGGAATGCTGTCTCACGGGTTGTGCACCAGAAAAGTATCTCTCCGCAACTTTAATCCACCAACTCCTCCAACTGTATATGAATGGGTTTATAGCACACAGTAAGTCAGTGGGAGGTGTCGTTTTGTTGGGAGTCAAAAAGAGAAGATCACTTTAAGGAAATGCATCAAAATATACCCTTGATGTAAAACACACATTAGTGACCTTGCCTCACTAAAGGTGAAACTAGGTATGTTTTACTGCTGAACATTAGCCCCTGTCCACCAGTGCTTACCGAGACTAATGACTGTAGTTCTGGGTTAACAAATAGAATAACTACCTGTTGCTTCCACATGCCACAATGCTGTACTGAGTGCTGATAATCATGGAGCAGTCAACTCCACACACCAGCCTCTGGGCCTCAAATTCCACAGGTAAGCACACCTGCCGTGGAGAGTTGTTGGTGTCTTGGGTGCCTAGCCCAAGGCGACCTTCCGCACAGAAGAAAAGAAATAACAATCAAGCTGCGTGCTGAGGTGATGCTGTCATAAATCAGTCACATACAAGCAAACCCCAAAAGGAGCATACCAAGACTGACAGAGTAAAAAAAAAAAAACAACGGCTCATTTACTCTACCATTGTCTCCTCTTCCCCAGGCAAATACTTCTCTTTCATTGGTCACAGCAAGAACGTGGGAAGCACCACATGACACCTGCACCAGCTCATATCCGAGGAGGGCCTCCACTATCTTAGGCTGAGTACAAGAACAGAAAGAGAGAAATATCATCATTGTAATGTTCATTACAGATTTTTATCAACAATCTGTAGGATACAGGCCATCACCGCGGCCTAGTGTTTAACACAGTTGGTATAACTGCGACAGCTTTTGCTGCATGTCATACTCCTCTCTCTCGTCATTTCCTGTCTGCCTCTCTACTATGAACTGTCCAGTAAAGGATAAAATGCCAAAAACTATATAGATATAGGCACCAAAAATGTATTTTTTAATCCCCAAAGTCTGTGAATTATGTTCTGGAAATAACTATAACATTTATATTTTTTACATACAAAACACATCAAAATTAAGAACTGTGGTAATCCACTTCATAATCATATACAGAAAGAAGAAAAGATGCCCAGTAAGTTACAATGACTTTTTGGAAGACACATGGATGTATTAATGCTCACTGTAATAGAGAAACAAAAGTGATTATATTTTAAATTAGGAGTAGAACTTACTTGGTTAGGTAAAGTAAAAATATGTAAAAATAATGATCATTTTGCTTTTGTATACTGCAGGACTGTTGCATTAAACTGCATTAGTTTTAGCTATTGCAGTTAAACCTAACAAACTGGTAACAGACTCTATGCTTTAATAAAGAGTGCAACATTTTCCTTTGAAGGGTGAACATATACCTGTGTTACATCGTTGAAGTTACCATGTCCTAAACAGCCGTTGCTCCCACTTCCAAACGTCATGATAATACCCCTGTCTGCAAATTGAGCATAAAGAGAAGGGATTAAAGGTACTATTAGTTACTGAGTTTAGGTGTAGTTTTATCTGGATCAACAAAGTACTTATAATCCCTAATGCTAATCTGCGTCACTACAGTGAAAACTGATGAACGAGTGGCAACTGAGCTGAGAGGAGGGTCTCTAATCCTGCCTTATCTGCTTTGCAATGGTAGATGGACTGACAACAGCCTCCAACACCACAGTGACTGGCAGTACATTACAGGTGGAGCACAACAAAAACTGTGATTCCAAATTGCTATTCACTATCAGGATCCCCACCCTCAGGGAGGAATGTATATTGAGTGAATGCTTGAGTACATTGCAGTGTTTGTGGAGAGTGGTTTGGGGAAAGGCTTCGGAGGTCCGCGCCACGCTCAGGCACTGGTGGACCCCCTGCATAGAGGGAGAGTAGGAAGAAGGGAGAGGTAATAGACAGGTGTGGGTTGGATGGGTTATGAAAAGCAGAAGCAGAAAAGTTTGAACAGGTGGTTTAAATGTAATGAGGAAAGGAAGTCCAGGCGTGGCCCCGCTCCAAAACCTCAGATTAAAATCTCCAGGGCAAGCATGGAGAGGTTTATTTTACATGTGGGTTCACAGTAACTGATTCACTTTTACATTTACACTCAAATGCCACCTCAGTGTTTACAGCCAGGTGGTACAGTGCATGTGAGTAACTGTTCCTGAAAGAGAGCTCTCTGAGAGGCTGACTGGGAATGGCTGTGATCTCTCTGATGGCTATCCAAAGAGGAAGGGCTGAATAACCTGTCATGCAGGTGGTGAAGAGATCGCCACAGGACACGGACTTGATTGTGACTCCAGACTGACCCTCTAGGAAGCGAGAAATGAACTGAGGCTGCATCTGCTCCACCGCACCAGGCAGACTGGCCTCACCAGACCCCACTGATGGAGCCTGTAACAATCGAGTCTGGGTTAGTCTTGGGTGAGCACGGCATTTTTCTTTTTTATTGTACCAACAAAGTTAGAATGCAACTGTTTCTTGGAAAACATTAATAACTACAAATGTTAAAGGAAAAATCCATCCTTAAATACACCATTAGATGCCATCAGTCTCTGATGTTCAGTGCTTTCAAGCTGCTTTATTTTAATATTAACCTCTAGAGTCCCTGCGTCCTCATATGAGGACCGCACAGCTTGGGTTTCCAAAGCTCAGGACTCTAGAGGTTAAGCACCAATATTCCACAGTCTGCCTTACTTAACTCTGCCCTATCTGTGTTTTGAACATAAACTGGACAAAATCTGTTTATATTCTATCTATCTAATACAATACAGTTAACAACGTTGTGTTTTCATTGACACCTTCACACAGGTATGAATTCAACTAACTTATTATTGAAGTTCTAGTCTGCAGTGCTGTTGAACTAGACTGCATTATAATAAGAGGCGTTTCTTATGTGTTACCCACCCCATTTACAAACATGAACAAACATTTAGTTTAACACCTCTAACACCTCTCTGACTGTGTCACTGAAAGCTGATCATTGTAACTGTCCTAAATGCACAACTTGTACAGGCATACCTACTGAATTACAATGGCCAGAGAGTGGGACACAAAAATCTATCAGCTGCTTTTGGCTAGCTAACTATGGGATAATAAAAATACACTACTATACATCAGCAAGTTGACTCAAGAGTGCAGAGCAGATCACAGCTGTTCCTTAACAGGAGAATAATGTTTTTGGGTGGATCTTTCCTTTATAATGCATACATTTCTTCAGGACCGTGTAAAAAGAGCTTTTTAAACAAGTAGTGAATTATATTAGGACACACAGGGATTTACACAGACCTCCCATGTAATCAGACGGCCTGACTTGGTGACCCCCATTTTCTGAGTGCGGCCTAGAGACACCTGAAGCACTTCGGTGTTGAGCATTGGCAGGCGGAGAGGTGTTGAGATGCCACTACCCCACGTATACACCGAAGACAGGGGGAGGGAATGCACCTTTCCTGATCCTAAACCAACTGATCCAGCTGTTCGGGACCAAGAAATAACAATCCAATTTGTGATTAAAGTACTGTAATCAATTTAGTGCAGTTCTTTTGTTAATAATGGTATGATGTCCCTCACCCCTGGACCTATTGGAAGGAACTCTGCCTCCTGGTCTACCTTGAGGACCGCTTTGCACAGAAGACAGTGGTTTCTCAATCCTGTAAGTGATTTGTGTACCAAATATAGATGAAGAGCAAACTCATTACACAAAATATAGAAAATCTTTATCAGAAATCAATATAGGTGTCTCTTAAAAGGCCTATCATCTCATTACTTATGCATTAAAGTCCTACCTGCGCATTTTGACATTGCCTATATCTGCGTAGAGATTAAGCAGGGGCCTGATGCATATGGGGAGAGCCATTATTTCATTGAGTTGAGGCCGTTTGGATGGATCCAGATTGAGCATGTTAAGGATGAGCTGTCGGAGTTCTGGGCTGTACCGGTCTGAAATTGGAGCAAATGTACCACTCATGATCTTCAGAACGAGAGCGGGCAGATTCTGAAAGCAACATTAAAGAGTGTTACAGAGTAGAATTACAAAATGCATTGAAATATGTGAAAACAACCCCAATGAGGTACATAGTGTAGTTCTGATCATTGGGAGGATTGTTACTTTGACTTTGCACACAGCAATCTTTTATGTATTAAACACTGAATAAGAATAATAATACTGTAAAAGCACACAGTATTTTTATATCACTACATCCATTCTTTTTGTAAAGAAATGCATTCAGTACAGCAGCCTCGAATGCTCTTTTAAGGCTGGCAAGCTCATAGAGTACACAGCCCAGAGCCCAGATGTCACTCTTCTGATTATATGGCTTTCCTTCACACAGCTCGGGGGAAATATAGCATGGGGTCCCAACCACCTGCACAGTGAAAAAGGAGGCATTAATTCAGACTGCCACATGTTAGGATTCAACATATAAGGACAGGTACGTTGCTGAAGTAATAACTCAAAGGCCAATCAGCTCACCGTGTATGCTTTACTCTTGCTGACGAGGATTTTGGAGATGCCAAAGTCACCAATTTTGACAATCATCTGGTGCTTGTCAAGTAGAATATTCTGTGTCTTGAGGTCTCTGTGCAGGATGAGTTTGTTGTGGACATGATACAAGGCAAGTAAAATTTGTACAAAGAAGTGAAGGATGGTGTCCTCGTCCAGCAGAGAGTTACAGCGCTTCTGTATATAATCAGCCAAGGTCCCACCTGCATGAAGAAAACATTTAGGAAGGAGTAAATATTAAAGAGGATTTTAGTTCATTAAAACCAGAATAACTTCAAGTTACTGGGTGGAATGTATGGCAGTGAAATGACAGTGTGAAAGCTGCTAAGTGATTTAAAATTAATTTAACAGGCTTTAAAAACACATAGTTGCTGTTGTTGCAAAGTGAAATATGAGATAATACACAAAATAATCATTTATCCAAGTACATCAAATTTATTTATTTTTATCTGGTATAATATGGAAGAAGTAGAGTGCCTCAGTTTCTTTTGCACCCAAGTTAAAAAACAATTCCTGCTTCAAGATCATGATTTTTCAGTTTATTTGTGTACAAACTTTAAATTGCCAGGAATAATTAACATGGGAAATGAACAACTACCTAATATATTTCTAACATATAAATATATAAATATGGATGCAACAATAAGAAGGCATTATTATTAATATTGCTTCACTTCAGATCAAACTTTAACCTTAAGGTCTTTAATCTGAACACAAGAACAATCAAAAGCTAGTCTGATGATTTCAGACTGAACAAATTTTGGACCCATTCATGGTGACATACCTCTTATAATGATACCTGCTAATGTAACTTCGAGGTCACCTATTGTCTGTTCAAACACCACCATACAGACTGACATTATCTCTTATCATTTGGTCTTCCTAAGCCTGAGCTGGGAACTCAAACTGGTATGGAGCCCTACAGCTATATTCCATGGGAAACGGGAACTGCTATACAATGAACAAAAGGAGTAAGATGTAATAAGATATTGCAGTAAGCGTACCTGGTGCATATTCCATAGCTATCATTAGAGCCTTGTCCTCCAGGAAGTTCTCGTAGTATTCTATGATATTTGGGTGGTTAAGCAGTTTCAGAACCTGACACTCGTTCTGAGCAGCGAGGCGTTCGTCTCGTGACATCTGCTCCACTGGGATCTCCTTCAGGATGACAAAGGCCCCGTCGCTGCGCCTGCGGCACAGATGAACAATCCTGACACAGGAGCAAAATGAAGAAAAATTAGATATACTGTATATATTGTTCCATAAATATGGCAGTAGGATGATTTGTAGCAGTTTTGATTTTTTTAAACCTTTATTTAGTCAGGGCAGGTCCACTGGGAGGTCACCTCTCTTTTTCATGAACACACAGATCACGTTCACACCTGGATGCTGCACAATAAAACTACCTGCTGGCCACTGTGCAGCTCCACTGGGGGTTAAGGGTCTTGCTCGAGGGGACCGTGTGGTATTGATGAGGGCAGGGGCCAGGGCAGGTGCCGCTTTGCCTCTTGTCTCACCCAAACTGACTGATTGTAAGGTATTATGCCACTGATTTTGTTTTTGACAGACAAGCATTCTGAATGACTGGTGTGAAAGTACTTGAGTCTTTCACTAAAAGTACTAATAGAAAAAGTAGTTCTTGGGAAATTTGTTCCTATTACACTGATATGTTAAAGCTACACTGACCTTTAAGAACTACTGTTTTGCATGTAATGTAGGATGATTATTTGATACCGTGCAGGTATAAACAGTCAGACTAACATGAAGGACATAGTGGCTACTTTTGCCAGGGCTTTACCAGTGAGACAACAATTCAAAGGAAACTACACAGACCTAAATACTACTAAATAGTAATGTGCCCAAACTTTTGCACAGGCCACGATTACTTTTTTAAAATTCATTAAATAAAAAGTTAAAGTGCATTCACATTTGAAAAAGTCTCATTTTAACGTCTGTTTGTTGCAAGGGTTGTATTTCATTTCACATTAAAAAAAAACCATTACATATGACAAAAATTTGGCATGCAATTATATTTATCTCCCTTACATGACAGTGTGTTTTTAACAATAGAGAAGTAGGCTACTGATATCAGTGGCCCTTTGCACCACTGCACTGAATCATAATTTGCAGTATCAATTCCATAACATCAGTAGAATATGTTATTCAGTACCACTTTATTATAAGGTCCCATTTATAAAACAATTTGCTTTGTAGATCATTTGTTGATCATTTATTAAGCATTAATAAGAAACATTTTCAACATTCAAAGGTAATTTGCATTATCTGATGTCTTATATTTGCAGACTGACAGGCTGACAGGGGTCTCCCTCATGAAATTTACTAATCATTAAAACCAATTAATTACAACCTTTATAGTGACAGAAAACAGACACCTTTTATTCATACAGTGAAGTTATCCATCCATCCATTTTCTAAACCGCTTAGTCCCAAACGGGGTCACAGGGGGCAGCCAGCTGCGGGCGAAAGGTGGGGTACACCCTGGAGAGGTCCAAAGCCCATCACAGGGCCAACACACAGACAAACAACCACTCATACGGGCAATTTAGAGACCAATCAACCTAAGCTGCAGGTCTTTGGACTGGGGGAGGAAGCCGGAGCACCCGGAGAGAACCCACGCAAGCACAGGCAGAACATGTAAACTCTGCACAGAAAGGCCCCAGGGTGGCCGGGGCTCGAACCCAGAACCTGCTTGCTGTGAGGCAACAGCACTAACCACCGCGTCACCGTGCTGCCCGTGAAGTTAGCCTTACCCTGTAAAAGGGCAGCTGTATCAAAAAGAGCTACCTACCTGACATTACCTTGTAGATAGCCTATAGTGAAAATAGCCTTTATACATTAGGAAAGAAAATGTTAAATGTTACACAAACTAAAGTACAAAGTCAGTAGAGATTAGAAGCGCAGGCAATAAGCCTTGTCCCCCTATTCAACATGTATAAGATGTAACGTTCAGTTCAGAAACTGGTTATTTGAAAATAACCAGTTCATATCATTTAATACACTGATCCAGAAGTACGAAGTTCAGAGAGAACAGTTCCTCCAGTACAATCAACTAAAATCCATAATTAAGTCAAAGATTAGTGTAACCAATAACCCACTACAACCCTCCAAATTAATTGAAGAGATTATGAAAATTACAGATTCCAACAAAATAATATCCAAGCTATATAAACTCATATCAAATACAGACTCAACAATAACAATACCAAAACTCAAATGGGAAAACAATTTAACTCTCTCACTCAGCTACGAATTCTGGACAGAAACTTGCAATAACATCTTTTCTATGACCAGCAATGTAAACTTACAACTTATACAATACAAGACCATCTATAGGACCCATATTACACAAAGTAACATGTTCAAAATGGGTTTCACTGACACAGACATCTGCTCACAATGCAATCTAGGTTGCACCGACAGTTACTTTCATGCTACTTGGACCTGCCAACCAGTTTATTCCCTCTGGACACGTAGCAGTGACAGAGAAACTCTCCACCATCTTGGGCTGTAGAATCCCTCCTTCTCCATCACTTTGCTTAGTAATATCACAGATGTTGACCACCTACCAATTAAATACAAAAGCCCACTCCTCATTTCTCTAGCTATTGCCAAGAAAACAATCTTTCAAAACTGGAAATCCAAATAAATCACTACACATAAACCACTGGACCAACATTCTGATAGAATACATCACACTATAAAAAATGGCATCTACTCACAAGAATAGTTTATCAGCTTTTTATGGCACATGGAACCATTTTAACACATTTCACCTTGAACACCTGGGGCTGAGGCCACGCACATTCCCACCAACCTCTAAAAATGTAACAAGCTGATTTTATTAGTAGTACTGTCATCATCATTATTATTGGTAATGTTTTATTTATTGTCCCTCCTTTTCCCTCTCTTGCGTTTCATAGACTGCATAATACCCACACTTCACACACTACAATCTTGTAAAACACTCTATATCTTTTTGTAATGTCATGTATCTGTTGTCCTGTCTCCCAAGTTCACTGTTTTGTTAATGTGTTACTTTGTTTCAATAAAAAAAACGCAGGCGATAAGCCTTGTCTCCCTATTCAGCTTGTATAAGATGTAACGGTACAAACGTGTTTAATAAATTACGTTAGCCTATAATACGCTATAATGTGGTTATAAGTATAAGATCGACCTCTGTGTTTATTAATGTAGACTATTTGTTAACAATGGTAGACTTTATCAAAGGCTAATGTTACACTGTTCTCGTGTTTAATAAATTACGTTAGCCTATAATACGCTATAATGTGGTTATAAGTATAAGATCGACAATGGTAGACTTTATCAAAGGCCAATGTTACACTGTTCTTAGCGGTCCATTTATTTTCCTGTTTTCCTTTGAGGGTTACATTTCTGGCAAAAACCGAGGCCTTACGGAGTTCAAGCTTTCTTAGTTCACGCCTGACAACGCCATATTTTCAAACAAACAGATGTATATCGGCTAAGAAGCGCAAGTAAACTTGGAGTTTACCCGAAAGCTCCTCTCCCAACAACTTTGATTTTCTCATACTTTTCCATCGCAGCCAGAACGTTTCTGCCGTCTCCAAGCAACCCCGGAACTACAGCAAACAACGAAGGACAAAAAGGTGAAAGAAACCTAGTCAAAGTAATGATTACACCTGCGACATACAAGAAAAACAGCTTTGAAATTTAGTCTCAGTCACCAGAGCAAGTGAATAAAGGAAAAAAGAAAGGAAATCCAACATTCTTGTTGTTTCTATTTACCTGTCTTCTCCAGATAAATAGATAAATAAGTGTCTTCTCCTTCTGTGGGCTAAATGTCTTACTAAAGCATAAATAGTCTACTGTTACTTTAGTGATATGATAGCATATACATATGCAAATAACATTACACAGAAACAATTTATTTACACACAAATCAATCTAAAAATTACAAATATTGGAAAGGATTTATAGCAATAGTCAGCAATATTAAAAACCATAAATGTACATATGTTAAAAAAGCAGAAGTCAAAAAAGCAAGAGTATTTATCAGTCTATACACAAAAAAAACAGACCATTTCTTGGAGTGTAGTTCTACTAATCTAAGTCTAATGGCCTCTGGAATACAACCAAGTTTCATTTTTATATGCTGGTAATCTAAAATACATTCCTGATATCATTAGCTCCAAACAAGCATAACGTGTGGGGCTGCTGATAATCTTACATGTCCTTTTCAGGACTTGCTTTATATCAAATTGTGCTAGGGTTCTGTGTGTTTTGCCAATAATTTTAGAGCTGAGGTTAATAAGATCTTGCAATTGGTTCTTGTCCTTTTGGCAAAAGGAAGCAAGAGCAGGTTTTGTCAAAAATATCAACGTTACAAACTTAGGTTTACAACCAGTGTGTTGATAGGTCCTACATATAAAAAACCAGTGAGTGACAAAGGTGATGGTGCTTTATCCATTTCATGTTTCGTTTCGATGTTGATGATGATGCCTGGGTGTACACTGCAGGCTTGGTGTTAGAATGTCACCAATGCATATTGTTCCATGTGAGCATGTGTGGTGGGTTTTACAAGTAAAATTACAGTTAATCTGAAACTAAAGCCAAATCACACTTCTAGTAACTTATCAGCTTAGTTGAATGTTCACTACTGAGTCCGATAAATTCTCTAATGATTCATGAAAATAGGGAATATATGTACTAACTTGGCAAATATATGTAATTACAATAACAGAAGTAGTTGCTGGTGTGAGAAAATACTTAAAGTCTATTATTATAAGTGCCTTCAGCTACTTATAATGTGCCAATCAGACCCTAACATTAAAAGTCATTAAAGGTTCTGGTAAAGACATGCACAGGGAGATCCTGCAAGTTCATTCTGCTGTATGTTGTCTAGTATCTCTGCCACCTGCAGTGAAAACTGTAATGGAGACAGTGAGGCTGATACTGTAAGCGAAACAGTGAGATAGATATGATTAGCTTCTTGAACTAGGGCTTTAGCTACTGCAGTCTTACATCCAGATGCCTGTTGATTATAAAGTGTCTTCAACTTGCTTGAGATAAGCAGGAAGGAGACTACATGAGCACTGTTTCCCCTGTCTGCTATGATAGGGATAATAAATGCTTTGTGCTGTGACAAAGCCTGCTTTGTGTTATGCTGAAGAATACCTCAACTGTTATTTATTTTCTCTGTAATTGCAGTTTTTAAATGAAGACTGGTAGAGTGGAAGATAGGTGAGTAGGTGGTTTGGCAACAATAGTTGATTCTTTCTCAAGGATCTAATACCACAATGACAGAGCACCTAAACGAGCCTTGCAGTCTATCAGAATCAGAATCAGCTTCATTGGCCTGGTGTGTTGAACACACAAATAATTTGACTCTGGTATGATGCTCTCAATGTGTATGTGCAATGCTCTTTAGTAAAGCGACAAGTAAGCAAGATAGGAATGAGACAACAAAAAGAGAAAAAGAATGTGCAAACAAGAAAAGGGAATGTGTATTAGGAAAATAAAAAATAAAGTACTTATAAATGTAGAAATATATATATACACTCACAGATATATACAGTATATGTCATTCCTCAGACCAGTTTAGTGGCATATTTGGCCTTGTGTTGTTACCTTCTGACAGCAACAGATGTGTCACTAGTCATGTCAGTCAGTGTCCAGGAATGCATTGTGTAGGACACTGAACCTGATGTTAAACCCCAGGTATGAACCTGTGCCTGATGAGAACTGTCTGCCACAAACCTGTGGGTGAGGTTGTTTAATCACAGCGATGCTTTCACCAGTTTCATCTTCAACAGATATAGAAAGGCGTTTTTCTCTGATAATATTATTACATGTGCTAGTATGAAAACCGCAGGTAAAAATAATAGAATGAACGAGGGATGAATGGTTAGTGTTACCTGAACAACCTGTGCTTTTTCTGTTATGACAAGTCAAAATGTCTGCTGTCAAAAAGGCATGTAGATAATCTCTACTGTTCATTGTGGCCTGGGTTCAACAATAACAAGAGCAGCTACTACTGTTGGGCCTTTAGAATGTCCTTTTCACCTTGTGTCAGAAATCCTGAGATGCTTCTCTGGAAACCTGAAACCGTGAGGAATTACAGGTTACTGTGATAAAATGATGAGCTCTCATTCTCTCACACTACAACAAACAAAACCATGGTGAGGCTACCAAGAAACACAAGCTGTGGTGTTAAGTTACAGGACATTTCTCTCTCTAACCTCAGAGTATTGTGTTACAGGGAGCCCTATATACTGAAAAGATATAAATAGAATCAGTTATGTATTTGAGCTTTGTTGTATCAAGTTTCATACTTTACAAAAGGTAAAAGGAGCATTTTATTGAGCCTGATGTGCTGAATTACCACAGCCATGACACTGCTGACACACATTCAGTTTGTCTCTTTCTTTTTATCTCTCTCTCTCTCACACACAAATATACATGTAAATAAATTCAGTTTGAATAATTCCTGGAGAGCAGTGTACTTCAGAATCACCGTGTGAAGACCCTATTACTGATCACAGGGAATTTTCTAACACAGCTCAACAATCCCAACCCCAAAGAGGAGGGTTTTCCTGCAAAGTTGTGGACAAAGCTGCCCCCAAGTGGTTTGATGAGGAAGTGGGAGCAACTGAACAGAAAACTAGTCTCATATGCTTGTCCTTTACTTAAGTGTTTGGTGCCATCTGATGGTGTGTTTTCATACTGTAAGTAACTGCTAAGTATGACATTTCTTAGAGCATACGCATGTGCCATACTGTCCTATTGACAGCGCATTACTAGACTTCACAGCATGCATTGTTTGAAAGTTAAAACTCTCCAGAGACTCTTTGTCATTGTATTTAATAGAAAATATTTATGATGAAAACTCGCTGCATGTTTGAAATAAATGTTAATGTGTTAAGCAGGGTTTTGCAATCAGCTCATAAGACTTCAAATAGTGAGAGACTGTGTGGAAGGTAACTACAAAGTTGAATATATTGATTAACAAACTCCAGTTGTTAGGGCGTGTAAACACATTCTCCAATTATCCATGTCACCTGGTTTCTCTGAGTAACCTGTGCATATAAACACATTGAATGCTGGTAATGATGAAGATTATATTGCATTCTGTCCCTGGGAGCAGCCTCACATGTTGTCTTTGTACTATGACTGGTACAAAGTGGCTTCTACAACCACCGCTGTAAATTCTTCTTGTAAAATGAAGAGCTGATTCTTGAAGTCAGGAACATGTCAATGGAAAGCAGATCATACTGAGATAACTGTCAATGTAAGAACAGTCAGTGAACAGTTGCAAATGCAACTTAATATCTTAGATCACTTGACGTTCATTTGACTTCAGTTGGTTAGTTTTACATTTACAAAACTCTTAAAATTATTTTGAACCTAAGTTCACTTAACTCACAGGCAGCAGCAGAACTGAGGCTTAAATTGAAACCGCTTAGTAGTGAGGTAACAGGAAATGAGAGGAGTGAGGGTGTTGACTGATAGTAAACGTTAGATGCCAAAACCCGAGAGTAGGCAGAGGCCTACAATTGCTTCAGAAAGTACTCTGACCCCTTCAGTTCTTGCATTGCACATTTAATTTGAAATGGATCAAATTGCTATTTTCCTATCAATTTATGCTAAATAACCCCCAATGACAAAGTTGAGGCAAAATTGAAATGTTGGAATATGACCCACCAAAGATGTCATCAGCACTTTTGAATAACTGAATGTCATTCAGAGATAATTTGACCCTAGTTGTCAGGTGATTTGTTTCCAGGCAACTGTTCATTTTGACATAGGGAACCTATTGTATTTTATCTGTATTTTGTATCAGTACAGGGAATTAGTTAGCATACAGAGAAAAGGTGTGACAAAGCAGCATACAGGCAAAAGGAAAGAAGGTAAACAAGGAATAAAAATAAGCAAAATATGTAGTTATAGAATTTTAGAAAATGCATCAGTGGTGAATAAGATGAAAACCTTTTGGCAGGTAACAAAAAGTAAATTCCTCATGTGTGAAAAATGTTCATGCATACATCAGTGGTGCATGTGGTTATGTGTCTGAATGATCTTAGCTGTTTCTGATGAGTTTTACTCTCTGCTCACTTCCTTTTCCCCAACCGGGCTGCAGAGCGGCTATGTGGAAAATGAGAGGTACGCTGGGTTTATGGAAGGAGGTATTGTCAAGGAAGGGCAGAGTTACTGTTAGGTCTCCTGTTTGTTATACTAGAATGATATTGTTATGTCCTAAATATAATAAAGCTAGGTGTGTTGTCATTTCTACAGTATATTTACTGAAACAGCATTTACTGCTGACTGCCACCAATCTACATAAATAAGAATCAAATTCTGTATTTGTTTAATGCATTCAGTGAACTGAAGCCAATAACTTTATGCTTGAAGTCATTGTGAATTTCTCTAACTATTAGTTTTTTATAGGTTTGTGTTGGAGTGAGACATTATGCCGTATTTGTGAAATATGTGGCCCAGTGGCAGCCTGCAAATGGGAAATTAAAGGGAACCTAAAACTGGCCCTTGGGGTACAGCACAGGCCCTAAAGTCCCAATGTTAAGAGTGAGGCTTATTAAGGTAAAAGGAATTAAATCAGTCAAGACCTTTATTCATAATGCAAACTCATCACTAGACTGAAATCATTTATGACCCAGAGCCTCCCACATGGGCCTCCAAAGGGCAGTTATGTTTGTCAGCCAAAGCCAAAACAAACATACCTGACTCACTTTACCACTCCCTTCCTCTTTCTTGAGTGTAGTAAGATATGCTAGATGTTACACATTAAATCAGCAGTATTTACACTACTAGATGAAGAAAAATTAACTTGGCATATAGATTTTTTTAGTACATTAATATTTCACATACAAAATATGTGATTATCTTATAATGTTTTCATAGACTAAATGGACAGTATGTACAGTAGTTATAGGAAATAGGGCCATATTAACCCAGTAATATAACACAATAAGCACTTTGAAATTGATTTGGATGCAGAGTTTTTACGTAATACATAAGTCTCACTATGTTGCATTGTGCTCAAATCTGGTAGCCTATTTATCCACCCTTATCAGAGTGTAAACAGATTTGTGGTCAGTACATGTTTGATTAATTAATCCTCTGTAGTGTTTTAATGGAGCTAGACTTCGGCTATTGCCATTGTTAATATCTATAGTCCTGCCCACTTGAAATACAGAGAATCCACCTTTGGGAAACAGCTACCTGGAGCTATTTTACATTTTTACAGGTCTTTTTCTATATGCTTAGCCCGAAATCCCGTTTCAGCAGTCCTGCTCTGTGACTGTTTTCCTTGCATAACCTAATCGCATTTCTGTGCCCCGCCTTGTTTTTGTGCTGAGACGGAGCAGTCACAGCGCCACCCAGCCCTCTCCACCACTGTCCTCTTCATTCTGCACAGAAAGGCGGGCTGAGCGGCGAAACAACGTTACCACAAGGCTAACGCCGTCGCATTGGAATGAGCTGTTACGGGAATCCCTTCCAAGCCTTGCTCTTCGGGCTGAAAACGTGAGAAAGAAAAAGGCTGCAGCATCAATCGGACATCGTCCCTACTGAAAAAATAAAAAAAGGATCATCTGCTCCTGCAGCTGCAGCAGCAGCGTCTCCTCTCCCTGCAGCCCCAGAGAACACCCTCATCACTTACCGAGCATATCCGTCCATCAACGGGCCGAGGAAAGGACCGAGGGAGGCAGCTAAAGAGGACGAGAGCAAGCGCCCAGAGACAGCGGGAGAGCGGGGCTTTGGGAGAAGAGGATGGAGACGCTGCTTCCTGTGCTGAAGAGTCACCCAGGCCCGTCTGTGCTGGTGTGCGCGCTGCTTTTTAGGGTGGCCCACAGGCTGCTTCAAAGGCTGCCTGTGCCCAGGGTGGTGAAGCAGGATGAATTTCGCTCCTGGAAGTGGCAGAATCTTTCTGTCTCAGTGGTGCATTCCCTGCTGACTGGGACATGGGCTCTGATTTGGTAAGTCTCCATCCATCCAAACATCTGGCTGTACATATATTTATTTGTCCATTCATCCACACTGGGACACCATTGTCTATTCACAGTCCACATGATGGGTTATGTGTAGTGTGTGTGTGTGTGTGTGTGTGTGTGTACGTGTGCATATGCACAGCAGTGACAGTCTGTGGCAGCCAGAAGAAGGGTATGTTCACACTGGGTGAGGGATGGAGGAGACAATGGCATTTTTAAGTGGGGAGGGAAAATGCCACTGTACAGTATGAGCCAGGCAGAGCTCTTATTGTTGATTGCTTACACTGCTGAATCTATGTGCGACTCGGAGGAATCAGATCTTTTCAGTCTCACATTCGGCCAGCTTTCTGACTCATTTAAGCAACAAACTGCAGATACTGGAAAAACCTGACGGCCAAATGATTGTTGTGAAACCATTCAACTATTTTTTGGGGCGTGGACTAAGCTTGTGACTCATCTTTTAACATGAAGTAGTGGGCTCAACATCACATTTCTAAACTGTCTGCCCTCTCATTTAGCCATTACTGCCTGTCATGTGACACAGGATGAACTAACATTGATTAAGAGCTTCTGTGGAGGTGAAAGAAGTTTGTGCACTCAAAAGGTTTTGTGTGCTCAATGTGGCACCAAGGAAACTTGAAACAATATACATAAGGACTATAGGTTATTTATTAACAAGAATTCTGTCAGGGTGTGTTTATACAAGGAGGGGACACAGAGAAGCCTTTGCTTTTGGAGGTGTGCCCCATTTTTTCAAATAGCAAAAATAAATAACGAAAGACCAATGCTAAAGCAGTGTGACAGTTTAACAAGAATAGTAGACAGAGATACAGTATATTTACACGTATAGACATAGACTGTAAATATTAATATGATCATTAACCCCAGATATTAATATTACTGTTTCTACAACTTCTAAAAGGGTGGATGTTTACTGGTCAGGGGGGTAAAAAAAAAGCCATGATACCTGCTGCTTATTCAGGCTTTTGTCTCCAGGATCGAGCTCATGTATGTCTGAGTGAGGCGAATACAGACCCATCTATCCATAACATGTGTCCCTTTCCAGTTTGGTGGTTTGGCCAGAGGCATTGAACAACATCCCCTCGTATCACACTCCCCTGTCCTACCTGCTCATCTGCGTCTCAACAGGTTAGTAAACATATTTCTGCCAATATTCATTCAGAATTATTGGTCTTATTAGTAGATTTTACATACAGTATGTTGATCAGCCTGCAGTCTAGAGAGGGACATTTCCCAGGGCTACAACAAAAGAACACATTCACTTTCAGTTAATCTGCTGCTTCTGTTCTTTATTAATTGATAATCTTCTTTTTAAAATGTCAGAAAATAGTGAAAAATACCTGTTACAATTTTTATACAACTCAAAGTGATGCCTACAAATGTTGTGTTGAAAGTCCAAAACTCCAAGATATGTGACAAAGGACAGGATCAAATTTGAGTAGCTGAAAACATCATTTTCTGGGCATTTTTTGCTTAAAGTATTACTAAAAGGATTATTATTACAAACAGTTGCAGATTATTTTCAATCCATGAAACACACAGTATAGATACCGGCTTTCATCAGAATTAATTTGACAGTTCTAGGTGAAAGGTTATTCAATCAGAAGCCCCC